GTCTGTTGTAATCACGCTATCTTTCGAACGAATTTAGATAGAAGGCTAAAATTTTGCACACAGGTTTATTTTGCCAGTACGCAGGATAAGTTCGTAAATGGGCCATATTGGTCCACGTTTTCATATAGCCCCCATATAACGGAACCTCCCGATATTCGGTATTTTGATGATTTTAGCGACAATAATCACCGAAATTGTTTCAAATTTGGTATTTGAAGTTCGTAATGGATACTACAGCCTTAGACAGAAAATTGTCTATGCAGGTCTACGTCTTCGTATAGCCCCCATATAGGGGTACCTCCCTATAATCGGTATTTTGATGATTTTAGCGACAATAATCACCGGAATTGTTTCAAATTGGGTATTTAAAGTTCGTAATGGATACTACAGCCTATGACAGAAAATTGTCTTTGCAGGTTCACGTCTTCGTATAGCCCCCATATAAGGGTACCTCCCTATAATCGGTATTTTGTTGATTTTAGCGACATTATTCACCGGAATTTTTTCAAATTTGGTATTTGAAGTTCGAAATGGATACTACAGCCTTAGACAGAAAATTGTCTATGCAGGTTCACGTCTTCGTATAGCCCCCATATAAGGGTACCTCCCTATAATCGGTATTTTGTTGATTTTAGCGACATTATTCAATGGAATTGTTTCTATTTTGGTATTTGAAGTTCGAAATTGATACTACAGCCTAAGACAGAAAATTGTCTATGCAGGTCCACGTTTTCGTATAGCCCCCATATAAGGGTACCTCCCCATATTCGGTATTTTGATGATTTTAGCGACATTATTCAATGGAATTGTTTCAAAATTGGTATTTGAAGTTCGAAATGGATACTACAGCCCAAGACAGAAAATTGTCTATGCAGGTCCACGCCCCCATATAACGGTACCACCCTATATTCGGTATTTTACTGATTTAAGCAACAATAATCACCGGAATTGTTTCATATTTGGTATTTGAAGTTCGAAATGGATACTACAGCCTTAGACAGAAAATTGTCTATGCAGGTCCACGTCTTCGTATAGCCCCCATATACTGGTACCTCCCGATATTCGGTATTTTGATGATTTTAGCGACATTATTCACTGGAATTGTTTCAAATTTAGTATTGACAGTTCAAAATGGATACTACAGCCTAAGACAGAAAATTATCTGTACAGGTCCACGTCTTCGTATAGCCCCCATATAACGGTACCTCCCTATAATCGGTATTCTTATGATTTTGGCGACATTATTTACCGGAATTGTTTCAAATTTGGTATTTGAAATTCCAAATGGATACTACAGCCTAAGACAGAAAATTGTCTATGCAGGTCCAGGTCTTCGTATAGCCCCCATATAAGGGTACCTCCCTATAATCGGTATTTTGTTGATTTTAGCGACATTATTCACCGGAATTTTTTCAAATTTGGTATTTGGAGTTCGTAATGTGAACTACAGTCTGTGACAGAATATTGTCTATGCAGGTCCACGTCTTTGTATAGCCCTTATATAACGGTACCACCCTATATTCGATATTTTACTGATTTTAGCGACATTATTCACCGGAATTGTTTCAAATTTGGTATTTGGAGTTCGTAATGGGAACTACAGTCTGTGATAGAAAATTTTCTATGCAGGTCCAGGTCTTCATATAGGCCCCATATATCAGTACCTCCCTATATTCGGAACTATTTTGATGATTTTAGGTACAATATTCACCGGAATTGTTTCAGATTTGGAATTTGAAGTTCCAAATGGATGCTACAGCCTTAGACAGAAAATTGTCTATGCAGGTCCACCTATAACGGTACCTCCCGATATTCGGTATTTTGATGATTTTAGCGTCATTATTCGCCGGAGTAGTTTCAAATTAAGTATTTAGAGCTCGTAATGGGATCTACAGTCTATGACAGAAAATTGTCTATGCAGGTCCACGTCTTCATATGGCCCCCATATAAAGGTATCTTCCAATATTCGATATTTTGATGATTTTAGCTTCATTATTCGGCGGAGTAGTTTCAAATTACGTCTTTAGAGTTCGTAATGGATACTACAGCCTAAGACAGAATATTGTCTATGCAGGTCCAGGTCTTCGTATAGGCCCCGTATATCAGTACCTCCCTATATTCGGTATTTTGATGATTTAAGCGACATTATTCAATGGAATTGTTTCAAATTTAGTATTTGGAGTTCGTAATGGGAACTACAGTCTGTGACAGAATATTGTCTATGCAGGTCCATGTCTTCGTATAGCTCCCATATAACGGTACCTCCCGATATTCGGTATTTTGACGATTTTAGGTACAATACTCACCGAAATTTGTATGAGATGTCGTATTTGAAGTTCGAAATGGATGCTACAGCCTGTGACAGAGAGTTGTCTATGCAGGTCCAGGTCTTCGTATAGCTCCGATATAACGGTACCTCCCTATATAGGGTATCGTTATGATTTTAGCTACATTATTCGCAGTTTATTTCAAGTTTGGAATTTTAATATGGTAATGGCTTATGACAGACAAAGCCTATGTAGGTCCACGTCGTATAGACCCCAATATAACGGATATATTCGGCATTTTTAAGATTTTAACAGAATTTAGAACGGATTTTATTTTTTTAAAAATTTCCAAATTCGTTCTAAATGGTGGAGGGTATTCAAAATTCGGCCCGGCCGAACTTACTGCTTTTTAACTTTTTTCTCCTTCTCTATTCCCAACCTGCAATGTTGCTCCTGCTTCGAGTCTCGGCTAATCCTTTGTGTGTGTTTTGAGAAAAGTGTGAAACAAACGATGATGAATTAAATAAACTTTCATAAATTGACCACAAGAAGGCTCCATCCAAACGGAGGACATCAAGGATGGGCAAGAAAAAATGCGCGATTTATTTTTTTTTCTTTATCTCCAACAGCAAACTTGGTGAAAGGATCAATTATGCACTTTTAGTTATGGTCAATTAAGATTTCTGTATTTTCCCAGCAAGGAGAGGGGAAAACAGAGGACAAAGAAAAGGCACATAGATAAAGAATGATGAGATGATGAAAAAAAGCGGATTTGAAGGAAAAAAACACAGAAATTCCGATTAGAAGCAAATGTTCAAGGACAAAGATGTATGTTTACATAGAGAGTTTGTGATAATAAAAATCCTGCTTGTGGAGAAGGAAAATAAAAAAAAATCGGAGAAAAAAATACCCCCTAAAATAAATATAATATCCCTAAATAAAAATAAAACAAAGGTATCAGTCGGTTTTGCCGACCCTCAGCCAATGTTCGATTATTTAAATACACGGTGAAATGAAAAAAAAACTGCAACCAACTTCAGACTGCTGTCATTTCCAAGCCACTCGTCCGACAGCTGTTAAAATTATTCCAGTGGCAGCTCATAATATTGTTTACAAGCGTACCAAAGCATTTTGGTGAGAATTTTCCAGAAAAAAAGTTATTCGTGATGGAATTCAAGCGTGATGGTGGCTGAGTGGCTATCGTTAGAGCACTCCAGCATTTAAATGTGAATAAATCTTTTGTGTCTCGTACCGTCGCTCGTTACCGTGATACTGGTAGCTGGTAGCGTAGCCCGACGTCAAGGAAGTGGACGGAAGAAAACAGCAACATCAGCAGAAATAGTTCGAAAAGTAAAGAAGCGATTTGATCGAAATCCGCGCCGCAGTGGTCGAAAAATGGCACGTGAGCTGAACATATCGCAATATTCCATTCGACAACTATTGAAAAATGAGCTCGGGGTAAAGCCATTGAAGTTCCAAAATGTGCAAGAACTTTTACCGCAACAGAAAGAAAATCGACTCAAAAGAGCTAAAGAGTTGCTTCGCTTGGCCGAAAGTTGTGAACTGCCGAATTTTGTTTTTCTCCGATGAGAAACTATTTGTTGTCCAGCAGTTTGTAAACAACAACAAAACAAAATGATCGTGTTTACTTGCCAAAGAGGTCAGCTGAAAATGTGCACCTTTGGTTGGCCATCAAAACTCCAGCGCCGCACACCATGGTGTGGGCCGCCTTAACAGCCGATGGCCGCTCTCCGCTCGTATTAATCGACCGTGGCATCGGAATAAATGCCATATATTTTCGCGAAAATATTCTGGAGGGTGTAGTAAAGCATTGGGCACGCAAACATTTTGGCCACAGACCTTGGACATTCCAACAGGACTCAGCACCATAGCACTCAGCACGCGTCACCGAAGAATGGTTACAAAATGAGGTTTCTCGCTTCATTTCCAGCGCACCACAATGGCCACCAAAATCTGCGGATACCAATCAGTTGGTATCCACCATACTACGGAGGGTATTCCCTCCACCATATTATGGAGGGTATATTAACTTTGCCGTTCAGTTTGTAACTCCTCGAAATACTCATGTCAGACCCCACGAAGTATATATATTCTTGATCACCGTAAAATTCTAAGTCGATTTAGCTATGACAGTCTGTGTGTCGGTCTGTCCGACTTTCTGTTGTAATCACGCTATCTTTCGAACGAATTGAGATTGAATGCTAAAATTTTGCACACATGTTTATTTTTCCAGTAGGCATGTTAAGTTCGTAAATGGTCCATGTAGGTCCACGTTTTTATATAGCCCCCATATAACGGTACCTCCCGATATGCGGTATTTTGATGATTTTAGCGACATTATTCACCGGAATTGTTTCAAATTTGGTATTTGAAGTTCGTAATGGATACTACAGCCTTAGACAGAAAATTGTCTATGCAGGTCTACGTCTTCGTGTAGCGACCATATAAAGGTACCTCCCTATAATCGGTAGTTTGATGATCTTAGCATCATTATTCACCGGAATGGTTTCAAATTTTATATTTGAAGTTCGAAATGGATACCACAGTCTGTGACAGAAAATTGTCTATACAGGTCCAGGTCTTCGTATAGGCTCCACATACCAGTACCTCCCTATATTCGGTATTTTGACGAGTTTAGGTACAATACCCACCAAAATTTTTTGAGATGTCGTAATAGACCTTCGTAATGGATGCTGCAGCCTATGGTAGAAAATTGTCTATGCTGGTTCAGGTCTCCGCACAGCTCAGATATAACGCTACCTCCCTACGATACGATATTTTGATGATTTTAGCTACATTATTCGCCGTTTATTTCAAGTTCGGAATTTGAATATGGTAATGACTTATAACAAACAATGCCCATGTAGATCCACGTCGTATAGACACAAATATAACGGCTATATTCGGTATTTTTAAAAATTTTTACAGAATTTTTTAAGGATTTTATTTCCAAATTCATTCTAAATGGCGGAGGATATTCAAAGCTCAGCCCGGCCGAACTTACTGTTTTTTAACTTGTTTGGATATAAATTTGTTCCTCACTCTTTCTATGAAAATAAAATTCGAAGGAAATAATTTTTTATTTATGCTATAGCGGCACCTCCTCCTCCTCCGCTTCGTTTTCCATTTCATGCTCGGTCCATTCCTCTTCCATTGAGTCCTCATTTTCTTCAATGTCTAAATGAACGAATAAATTATCCACAAAACTCAAATCCGCAACTTCACTGTCGGCATCCGTGGTTGGATTTTCATCGATTTTACCGCAACATTTCGAAATAACCCAAATTACGAGAACGAGGGAGAGCATAACTATGGCCCCCAAACCATAAATATTGACCATTATCAATTCCATGGGAGTAACTTGTATAACATATCCTGACTGCGCCTGCACCTGCAACACCTCTGTGTCGTTGAGATAATTACAACCATTGGTGGTGCAACTGAAAAATTCCGCCGTACACGACCAATTTGGTGGGGCGCAATAGCGTGCCAATGCTTGTACTCCATTTTCTAAAATCGATATTGAATTTTTTTGTTTTGGGAAATTTGAATTCTCAAACCGAAATCAGAACTTACCTCCCCTACCGCTTTGGATGACACACATGGACGAGCTGGGTGGGCATTCCAAGAGAAATAGAGGATCATCGGCTGATGGGATATGTGAACATTTATCGTTTATCTGATTTGTACAGTCATGGCATTTTAGTGACCATCCTAAAACGGGACCGGAAGAAGGGTTTGAAAAATACTACTCAAGAGATTTGTAACAACAGCAAACTGCAGAATTCACCTTCTATTGGATTCTGTAACAGCAACAAGACAGTGACTAAAAGCTTTAGAGAAACCATTACAAGTTCTGTCCAAAACCCTTGAAATCTTCGTTCGAATGAAGAACAAGTTAATTCAAATGACTGAGGGTAAATTTAGAAATGATCGCCAGCAAAACCGCAAAACAAGAATCCGCCATGCAAGCAACCAGTTCCGATATCATCACTCATTGTTGTTATTTTTATTATTTGTTTTGTTTTTAGGTTCAACATAATCAGCTGGTTTTCTTTTCAGAGGAAGAGGTACTTTTTTTCGCCGATTTTTATACCCTCAGCCATATGGCTAGGGGGAGGGTATGTATCATTTGATGCGGCCAAAACGTGTCTCATCGAAGTGATGGTTTTAGACCCTAACTCTCTTTGTACCAAACCCGTTTCAGGACATTTGGAGTCGATCTAGCGATGTCCGTCTGTCTGTCTGCCTGGCTGGCTTATGCGCACGATAACTCTCGAAGGGAGTATCCGATTGTGGTGGGAATCGCAATATTTATATTTCATTTATATATTTAGGTCCGATACGAAATGCACAATATTGGCCCAATCCTTCGAAACCTACTCCAATGAGGGCCAACAATTTGAATAATCATAACAGAAGTAAAAATACACAGGGTGAGATGAAAAAACTGCAACAAAGTCAAAAGCCATAATTCTGACATTTTTTTAAATTTTATTGAATGAAAACAAAAAATGTCGGAAATAGCATCAAATATTAGAAAAAGTTTAGATTTGTTCGAATTGGTCACCTTCGGCACGAAATATGGCCTTCAAACGGCCAACAGTTTCGGTGGGTATTGTACCTAAACTCGTCAAAATACCGAATATCGGGAGGTACAGTTATATGGGGGCTATACGAAGACCTGGACCTGCATAGACAATTTTCTGTCACAGACTGTGGTATCTATTTCGAACTTCAAATACCAAATTTGAAACAATTCCGGTGAATAATGTCGCTAAAATCATCAAAATACCGAATATCGGGAGGTACCGTTATATGGGGGCTATATGAAAACGTGGATCTACATGGCCCATTTACGAAATTAACATGCCTACTGGAAAAATAAACATGTGTGCAAAATTTTAGCATTCAATCTCAATTCGTTCGAAAGATAGCGTGATTACAACAGAAAGTCGGACAGACCGAGACACAGACGGGCATAGCTAAATCGACTTAGAATTTTACGCTGATCAAGAATATATATACTTCGTGGGGTCTGACATGAGTACATATTTCGAGGAGTTACAAACGGAACGACAAAGTTAATATACCCTCCATAGTATGGTGGAGGGTATAAAAACAAGTAAAATAGTATCAGTCGGTTTTACCGAAGGACTTATACCCCCAGCCTTGAGTTGTGATTATTCAAACTGTTGACCCTTTATGGCATGGTGCCAGATTGGACTATGAAAGCAAAAAATGTCGGAAATAGCATCAAATTTTAGCATAAGTTCAGATTTGGCACAATAGTCCAATGGATTGGCATCCGGAGATTTTGGTGGCCATTGTGGTGCGTTGGAAATGAAGCGAGGAACCTCATTTCGTAACCATTCTTGGAATAGAATATCTTCGGAAAATAGAAATAGCTTCTCTACACCTCATGAAGACCTACAAAAATTCCCCTCCAAGAGGTTCTTTAGAAGTATAAAAACATTAAAAGCCCAACAATCCACCTTAAAGATATTAATGTGCTCCAATAAATCTGCCATACATAGAAAACATAGCAAAAATCTTCGACCACTGGAAGACCCTCGATAGATATTTTGGAGCATTAAACAGCACATTTGTAGTAAAACTTCGCCTAAAAATATGTTTGGAAGATAGCTGCTCCGTTTCAGAACATTTGGAGTCGATCTAGCGATGTCCATCCGTCCGTCTGTCTGATTGGCTGTTACGCACGATAACTCTGGAAGGGAGTATACGATTTGGTCCAAACTTGGTACATCGTAATATTTTTGTCAAACTTAGATCGAGTTCGGGGATGGGAAATATCTGTCCACTCCTTCTGGTACCTCCCCCACAAAAGGTCGAAATTTTCAAAAAAAAAAAAATATTTTTTGCACCAAAAGAAAAAGGATAATCCGATTTTCCTGCAACTTTGCAAATTCTAATATTAGCGTCAGTGCTAGGTCAGGTGTGAAAATGGACAATATCCGAACACTCCATCAAGTACCTCCCCCACAAATGGTTAAAATTTTGAATAATTACAACTCTTATAAAATGTGATGTAAGAGTCCGATTGTCTTCAAATTTCACACATCCCAATAATTTTATTAGCCCAAGGTCTGGTGTGAAAATGGAATATATCGGTCCACTCCTTCTGGTACCTTCCCCACAGAGGGTCAAAATTTTGAATGTCCATGAAGCTCATAAAACGCAAAATTAACATCAGATTCCATTCAGACTTGGCACATCTCAATATTTCTATCAACACCAGATCTTCTATAAATATGGTAGAGATCGGATCATTCCTTCTGGTACCTACCCCACAAAGGGTCAAAGTTTTGAATAACCAAAACGATTATAAAATCCGAAATAAGCATCCGGTTCTCTTGATATTTCACACATCCCATTAATTTTACTAACACATCATCTGCTATGAATATGAGATATGTCGATCCACTCCTTCTGGTACCTCCCCTACAAAGGGTCAAAATTTTGAATGTCCATGAAGTTCATAAAACACAAAATTAACATCAGATTCTATTCAGACTTGGCACATCTCAATATTTCCATCAACACAAGTTCTGTTATAAAGATGGTGGAAATCGGACCACTCCTTCTGGAACCTCCCCCACAAAGGGTCAAAGTTTTAATGACCAAAACGTTTATATAATCCGAAACAAGCTCAAAATTTTCAATATCCCTGAAGCTCATAAAAAGCGAAATTGACATCCGATTTTAAATAATCGAACATTGGCTGAGGGTATACAACTGTCGGCAAAACCAGTCGATACTTTTTTTTAGATATTTTAGACACCTAAGGCACCTTCTATAGCTTGGAAACCTCAAATATATCTTCTAGATTTGAGAGATCTACCATAGGTCTTTCATGCAACTTTTATCATCATTCAGATCGAGCTCCATTTTTATTAGACATTTATTTTTACAAAAATAAAACCGAACAAGCCTGAATCATTTTGAAATATATTTTATGCGGTTTGTCGTGGTAATCATTTCTATTATTAATACCGACCACCAGCCACTGTCGTCGATACGACAATCTTGTCAGTTTTATCGGATACTTCAGTTGTTGCAGAACGGCCAGATATATTTTGAGTAAATAACCCTAAAACGTCGGATACATACAAAAATGGAGTGCGGCAGACTTTCAATAATTCTCCTGGTATTGATTCAGGGTGCAGTGACAGGTGCAACACTTCTATATATACTCTTCAATTTTGAAATTTGAAAATCTCTTTTTTTTTTGATTTCCCTAGGATGGGCCCTGCATTGCCACATCTGTAGGAATTCCAATAATGCATTGTGTTATAAAATCAAAATGGCCGAAAATCCAACATTTCTCAAGGAATGTTGGCTGGGTGCCACAATGTGTGTCACCGAATTGACCAGAGGTGAGTGAGCGAGTGAGTGAGTGACGGAGTTTGGAGATCAAAGGTTGTTAAAAATTGTTTTTTTTTTTTTTTTTTTAATTCCGCCGATTAGGTGAAGTACCCAAAGTTGAACGCAAATGTGCTGCACGAGATTGGTTTTGTGAATCGGAGTGTTTCAATTGCACCTCGGATGGCTGTAATTATCACAACGATGTTCAGATGTATACCACAGTGACCCACAATCTGGATGTGTCCCCCATGGAGTTGTTGATGGGAAATATCTATAAAATTGGGGCCCTCTGTTTGGTGGTGGTCATTCTTATCATTTGGTGTATTTCAAGATATTGTTCCAAAAAATCGGACGATGACATGGATTTCGAGTATGGAGAGGGAGAAGAGGACGAGGAATATGACGAAGACAATGTCGATGAAGATGACGAAGATTGTGACGACGACGAAGAAGAAGAAGATGATGACTCTGATTGCTATGACGCCGATTCAATAGAAAACGAATATAAGGAGTACGCAAAAGAAGCCGAAGCAGATTATGAAAATATAAAAACGAAAAAATCAAAGAAACTTATGGAAGCCAGATCCGTGCCGGTGCCAGATAAAAACCCAAAAAATGTAACAGCAGATGTAGAAGTTGTTGTAGTTTGACAATAACGAAGTGATGGAATCACTTTCTTTCCGATTTAGTAGAAGGCGATTTCGGTAGTCTTAGGCATTTAATTTAAAATTGAGAAACAAATTCAATAAAAAAAATAAAATATTGAAATTTCCAAAAATCGTCAAGCCTCTCTTTTCATGCTTCAGTTAAATATAAGGTATCAACAGACTCCTCCAGTGCGGATTGGTATTACTAAAGCAGAAGAAAAAGGAACCCCCTAAGGGAAAAAAGGAGAAGCTCCTACGAAACGAAATACGAAGTTGAGAAACGAAGCAGCGTAGGAGAATAGGCCAATATGAAACGAATAAAAAGGCAGCTAAGTTCCGGGCCGAATTTTTAATACCCTCCACCATTCGGAAGAAATTTGAAATTTTCAAAAAAAAAAAAATCCGACCACTTAAATGAAAACCGTCGTATAGAGACTATATGAAGACGTGGATCTGAATACGAAATTTGTTGTCATAGGCTGTAGTATCCATTGCGAACTTCAAATACCAAATATGAAACAATTCCGGTGAATAATGACGCTAAAATCATTAGAATACCGAATATCGGGAGGTACCGTTATATGGAGGATATACGAAAACGTGGACCTGCATACAAAAATTTTTGTCATAGGATGTAGTACCCATTGCGAACTTTAAATACCAAATATGAAACAATTCCGGTGAATAATGTCGCTAAAATCATCAAAATACCGAATATCGGGAGGTAACGTTATATGGGGGCTATACGAAGACGTGGACCAGCATAGACAATTTTCTGTCACAGACTGTGGTATCCATTTCGAACTTCAAATACCAAATTTGAAATAGTTCCAGTGAATAATGTCGCTAAAAACGACGAACGGACATCGCTAAATCGACAGAGAATTCTATGCTAATCGAGAATATATACATACTTTGTGGAGCATAAAATATATATTTCAAGGTGCTACAAACGGAGTGACAAACTTACTATACCCTCCATACTATGATGGAGGGTATAAAAAGTACCGGATAATCAAACAAATGGCATGAAAAAAGGCATGGAAAGGCTGAATTTCCCATGAATGAATGGACTTGAAATAGGATAATAAAGAAGTTCTGCACGAACAAACACTTTACAGCTCAATGAAAATAGCTCGGAAATTGCATGAATTTGTCTTAAAAATGCATTTATAAATCCATATTTCAGACCAATTTGGGGGCTTGAGAAAGGCATGAAAGACTTGAAGATGGCTTGAAAATAAAAAGGTATTAAAGAAGGCATGACATGTAAAAGGCATAAATAATATTTTAAAAGTACAAAATTCAGGTCAAGAATTTGAAAAAGTCTTGAAAAATATATGATTCAGATTAAAGAAAAGGAGTTGAAAATTTGCATAAATAGGCCTCGAAAATGCATCAATTCAGACCAATGAAAGAGGCATAACAAAAACTTGAAAAAGGGCTTTTAGAAGGCTTAACCAAAACACGAACAATGAAGTAGATTTGAAAAAGGCATGAAAAAGGCTTGCATGTTATAAAAGTAGTACATCTTTCAGGTCAATGACAAACTCTAGAAAAATACATGAGTAAGACTTAAAAGTTCTTTGCAAAGGCGATGGAAGGAAATGTCTTGACAAAAAAAATCTTTTAAACTTTTCGTTTCGGAGAAATATAAAGCGCTTGAAAGTAGCATGAAGAGGGCTTGAAAATGGCATGTAGAGGGCTTGGAAATTCTTAAAAAAAATAGATTGCTGACCAATGAAAGGGATTGATGAAGTCGATAAAAACAGCTGAAATGGGCTCGAAAGTAAGAGGAATTTAAAGTAGGTTTGACCTAAGCACAAACAGTAGAAAATATTTTAAAAAGGCTTGAAGATCTCTTTAAAAATAAGATCAAATGAAAGGGCTTAAACAAAATATTTGAAAAATCTACGTTTCAGTTAACCGAAAAGAGTTTAAAATCGTGTAAAGAAGTCTTGAAAATGCATTAGAAAGTTTCAATTTCAGATAATTTTAGGAGCTTGAAAAAGGCATGAAAATAACTTGATTGGGTTTGAAATGAGTATAGAAACGAAGAAGGCTTGAACAAAACATGGAAAAGGCTTGAACGATTTTATAAATCCACATTTTGCATTATAAGAATAGCCTGAAAAGGCATGCGGTAGGCTTGGAAAATTATAAAAGCCATAGAAGTTGCGGATCAGGTCGTAGTGCATCGAGAATTCATGGAAAAGGCTTGAAGGTTGTCTTCCTCATTTCAAGTCAAGAGAAAGGACTTAAATTGAAATTTTTTGAAAACTTTTTGGATTATTGAAAATGTTTTGAATAGACTTAAAAATGCATTAAAAAGACAACAGATAATGAAAAATATTTGAAAATGGCATGAAAAAGGCTTGAAAATCTCTTGTTAAAAATCTGACCAAATCAAAAGGCTTGAAAATAATATTTAAAAATCTACATTTCAGATCAATGCAAAGGAGTTGAAAACCATAGGAAGTAGGCTTAAAATGTATAAAAGACCTTAATTCCAGATCATTTTAAGAGCATGAAAAAGGCATAAAGATAACTTGAAGTGGGCTTGAAACGAGCATAGAAATAAAAATAGGATTGAACAAAGCTTGGAATAGGCTTAAATGAATTTTAAAAAAATCCACATTTAATGTTAGAAAGAAAGCCTGAAAAAGGCATGCAGTAGGCTTGAAAAATTATATAAGCCATAGAAGTTGCGGCATGAAAATGGCTTGAAAATTGCATCAAAAAGGCTTGAAAAATGTTTTCCTCATTTCAAGTCAGGAGAAAGGCTAAAATATATTTTTTTTTGAAAACTTTTTGGATTATTGAAATTGGTTTGAAAGGGCTTAAAAATGCATTAAAAAATCTCAATTTCAGATCAATTTAAGAGCATGAAAAGGCATGAAAAACACTTGAAGTGGGCTTGAAACGAGCATGGAAATACAGAAGGCTTGAACAAAGCTTGGAAAAGGCTTGAATGAATTTTTAAAAAATCCACATTTAAAATTATAAAGAAGGCCTGAAAAAAGGCATGCAGTAGGCTTGGAAAATTATATAAGCATTGAAGTTGCGGATCAGGGCGTAGTGCTTCGAGAAATCATGAAAAAGGATTGAAAAATGTCCTCCTCATTTCAAGTCAATGGAAGGGGCTTGAATCGAACTTATTTTGAAAACTTTTTGGGTTATTGAAAATTTTCTGAAGAAGGCTTAAAAATCCATTAAAAAGTCTCAATTTCATATAATTTTATGAGCTTGGAAAAGGCATGAAAATAGCTTGAATGGGGCTTGAAACGAGCATGGAAATACAGAAGGCTTGAACAAAGCATGAAAAAGGCTTGAAAGATTGTTCTTAACCATATTTTTGCATTAGAAGGAAGGCCTGACAAAGGCATGCAGTGGCCTTGGAGAATTATATAAGCCATAGAAGTTGCGGATCTGGGTAAAGTGTTTCGAAAAGAAATGAAAAAGGCTTAAAAAATGGCTTGCTCATTTCAAGCCAATAGAAAGGGCTTGAATTGATTTTTTTTAACTTTGTGGGTTATTGAAAATGTTTTGTATGAGGTTTGAAATAGGTATTAAAAAGTCTTAATTTCAGATAATTTAAATAGCTAGAAAAAGGCATGAAAATAGCTTGAAGGGGGCTTGAAACGAGCAAAGAAATAAAAAAGGCTTGAAAAAGCTTGGAATAGGCTTGAATGATTTTTTTAAAAATCCACAATTAACATTAGAAAGATGGTCTGAAAAAGGGCATGCAGTAGGCTTGGAAAATTATATAAGCCATATAAGGGCAAAGTGCTTCGAGAAGGCATGAAAAAGGCTTGAAAAATGTCTTCCTCTTTCAACTCAATGAAAAGGGCTTAAAATGAATTCTTTTTTGAAAACATTTTGGTTTATTGAAAATGGTTTGAAAAGGCTTAAAAATGCATAAAAAAGACACAATTTCAGATCATTGAAGGGGCTTGAAAATAACTTTAAGTGGGCTTGGAACGAGCATAAAAATAAAGAAGGCTTGAACAAAGTTTGGAAAAGGCTTGAATGAATTTTTTAAAAATCCACATTTTGCATTAGAAAGAAGGTCTGAAAAGGGCATGAAGTAGGTTTGGAAAATTTTTAAACCATAGAAGTTGCAGATTTAAAAAAAAGTGCTTCGATAAGGCATGAAAAAGGCTTAAAAAATGGCATCCTATTTTTCAAGTCAATGAAAAGGGCTTAAATTATTATTATTATTTTTTTTTTTTGAAAACATTTTGGTTTATTGAAAATGGTTTGAAAGGCTTAAAAATGCATTAAAAAGACGTAATTTCAGATAATTTAAAAAGCTTGAAAAAGACTTGAAGGGGGCTTGAAACGAGCGTGGAAATAAAGAAGGCTTGAAGAAAGCTTGGAAAAGGCTTGAACGATTTTTTTTAAATCCATATTTTTGCATTAGAAGGAAGACCTGAAAGAGGCATACAGTAGACTTGGAAAATTATATAAGCCATAGAGGTTGCAGATTTAAGAAAAGTGCTTCGAGAAGGCATGAAAAAGGCTTGAAAAATGTCTTCCTCATGTTAAGTAATGGAAAGGGCTTAAATTATTTTTTTATACCCTCCACCATACTATGGAGGGTATATTAACTTTGTCATTCCGTTTGTAACTCCTCGAAATACTCATGTCAGACCCAACAAAGTATATATATTCTTGATCAGCGTAAAATTCTAAGTCGATTTAGCGATGTCCGTCTGTCTGTCTGTCTGTCCGTCTGTCTGTCCGTCTGTCTGTCTGTCTGTTGTAATCACGCTATCTTTCGAATAAATTGAGATAGATGGCTAAAATTTTGCACACATGTTTATTTTTCCAGTAGGCAGGTTAAGTTCGTAAATGGGCCATGTAGGTCCACGTTTTCATATAGCTCCCATATAACGGTACCTCCGGATTTTCGGTATTTTGATGATTTTAGCGACGTTATTCACCGGAATTGTTTCAAATTTGGTATTTTAAGTTCCAAATGGATACTACACCCTAAGATAGAAAATTGTCTGTGCAAGTCTATGTCTTCGTATAGCCCCCATATAACGGTACCTTCCGATATTCGGTATTTTGATGATTTTAGCGACATTATTCACGGGAATTGTTTCAAATCTGGTATTTGAAGTTCCAAATGGATACTACACCCTAAGACAGAAAATTGTCTTTGCAGGTCCACGTCTTCGTATAGCCCCAATATAACGGTACCTCCCTATATTCGGTATTTTGATGATTTTAGCGACGTTATTCACCGGAATTGTTTCAAATTTGGTATTTGAAGTTCCAAATGGATACTACACCCTAAGATAGAAAATTGTCTGTGCAAGTCTATGTCTTCGTATAGCCCCCATATAACGGTACCTCCCGATATTCGGTATTTTGATGATTTTAGCGACATTATTCACGGGAATTGTTTCAAATCTGGTATTTGAAGTTCCAAATGGATACTACACCCTAAGACAGAAAATTGTCTTTGCAGGTCCACGTCTTCGTATAGCCCCAATATAACTGTACCTCTCTATATTCGGTATTTTGATGATTTTAGCGACATTATTCACTGGAATTGTTTCAAATTTGGTATTTTAAGTTCCAAATGGATTCTACACCCTAAGACTGAAAATTGTCTGTGCAGGTCCACGTCTTCGTATAGCTCCCATATAACGGCACCTCGCTATGTTCGGTATTTTGATGATTTTAGCGACATTATTAACCGGAATTGTTTAAAATTTGATATTTGAAGTTCGTTATGGGAACTACAGTCTATGACAGAAAATTGTCGGTGCGGGTCCAGTTTCGAATTTGAATATGGTAATGGCTTATGACAAACAATGCATATGTATGTCCACGTCGTATAGACCCCAACATAACGGCTATATTCGGTATTTTTAAAATTTTAACAGAATTTTTTAAGGATTTTATTTTTTTGAAAATTTCCAAATTCGTTGTAAATGGTGGAGGGTATTAAAAGTTCGGCCCGGCCGAACTTACTTCTTTTTAACTTGTTTTTTTTGAAAACTTTTTGGATTATTCAAAATGGTTTGAAAACATTTAAAGAGCTTGAAAAAGGCATGAAAATAACTTGAAGTGGGCATAAAACGAGCATGGTAATACAGAAGGCTTGAAAAAGCTTGGAATGGGCTTGAATGAATTTTTAAAAAATCCACTTTTTACATAGAAAGAAGGCCTGAAAAGAAGTAGGTTTGGTAAAATTTTTAAACCATAAAAGTTGCAGATTTAAGAAAAGTGCTTCGATAAGGCATGAAAAAGGCTTGAAAATGTCTTTCTATGTTTCAAGTCAATGAAGAGGTCTTAAATTAAAATTTTTTTTGAAAACCTTTTGGATTATTGAAAATTATTTGAAAAGGCATGAAAATGCATTAAAATGTCTCTCAATTTTAGAAAATTTTAAGAGCTTGAAAAAGTCATGAAAAACACTTGAAGTGGGCTTGAAACGAGCATGGAAATAAAGAAGATTTGAACAAAGTTTGGAAGAGGCTTGAATGAATTTGAGGCTTGAATGAATTGGAATGCATGAAAAAGGCTTGAAAAATGCCTTCCTCATTTCAAGTCAATGGAACGGGATTAAATTGCAATTTTTTTTAAAACTTTTTGGATTATTGGAAATGGTTTGAAAATGCTTAAAATGCATTAAAAAGTCTCAATTTCAGATAATTTTGTGAGCTTGAAAAAGGCATGAAAAACTCTTGAAGTGGGCTTGAAACGAGCATGGAAATACAGAAGGCTCGAACAAACGTGGAAAATGCTTGAACAATTTTTTTAATCCTTATTTTTGCATTAGAGGGAAGGCCAAAAAAAAAGGCATGCAGTATGGCTGGAAAATTGTATAAGCCATAGAACTGGCGGATATGGGTAAAGTGCTTCGAGAAGGCATGAAAAAGGCTTGAAAGATGTCTTCCTCATTTCAAGTCAATGGAGAGGGCTTAAATTGATTTTTTTTTTGAAAACTTTTTGGGTTATTGAAAATGTTCTGAAGAAGGTTAGAAAAAGGCAAGATTATCCGTTTTTCAGGGCAATGGGAAATTCTTTAGAAATTCTTCGCTTGAAGAAGACATGAAAAAGTTTTGAAAATTTTCATGGTTTTGGATAACTCTTTGACATTATTTTTAAATATCCAGCGGACGGTATTTGAAAACATATTCCCAAAATAAAAACAATTTTTCCTATTTTATTGTTGATGACTTTTCAAAAAAAGTTTTTCTACTTTCTTCTCTCTTTCTCCTAACTTCCTTTGTATTGTTCTTTTGCTAAACTTTTTTCTCCTCCCTTTCTTGACAGCTTTCCGTTGGCATTGAAAATGGCAATCTGGAATCCTACAACTCAGACTTTGAACTGCAATTCAGTCATCCACTCAAACACATTGTTGGCATGTGTCGCATTGTCCACAAACAGGGTGGCAAGCAGGTGGGCAATGGATTTATGCAACTCAAGACGCCGCAGCAGCAGCAATCTTTGTCACAGCACTCGAATGGCAGCGTTGGCGGCAATGGTTTATCGTCCACAAGCAATGGTTTCAAGTCATCCCTAAAAACTTCCACCTCCTATGGGTCGTTGTCTTCAAGTGCGGCAGCCTCATACCAACAACAACAACAGGCGCAGCAGCAACAACAACAAGCCAACGATGACAATGGTGTACCGAATAATTTTATGGAATTCACAGGGCCCATAACCGGGCTGGTGTATCTGATGAAAGAGCCCAAGGATCCCTTGCTGCACATTTATCTGTTCGAATGCGATGCGGTCGAAGAGGTAAGTTTTTATTTTCTCCCACATTCCCAATTTGACCTCTTTTGTTCGTCTCCTTTGTTTGAACGTTGTAGTGCAGGGGGAGGGATTTTTGAAAAGATTGAAAGGAAACGGAAATTGCATGGCCCTGAACACGTATGAAATTGTTCGTAAACTTTAAATTGTTGATGCCGCCGGTCACCATAGTGACTTGCTGTGTGTGTGTCCGCCCACAATTTTTATGTTTCAAGCGGGAAATGTCAAGCAAGGATTCGATTCGATAAGGCATTTTCAACTGAATATTGAACAGAGAGCGATTATATGTTCAAAGAAATCTCTGATGTATGGATAAATCTCCCATCGATTATCGACAACATTTTCTGAGTAAAAAAAATATACAGGGTGAGAAAAAAAAACCGGCAACAAAGTCAAACGCCATAATTTTGAATTTTTTTTAAATTTTATTGAATGGAAGCAACAAATGTCGGAAATAGCATCAAATGTTAGACTAAGTTAAGATTTGTTCGAATTGGTCACCTTTGGCACGAATTATGGCCTTCAAATGGCCAATGAAACTGTCACACGCTGCCCAAAAGTTGCTCTGCGGTATTTTGAACTATTCCCGGCGAAGCGATTGCTTGAGGTGATCGACATTTTGGTATTTTTAAGGCCAATCTTGCTTTCTAAAATACTCCAGACACAATAGTCCAACGGATTGGTATCCGGAGATTTTGGTGGTATTTGTGCGCTGAAAATGAAGCGAGCAATTCTTTAGCTCTTTTGAGTCTATTTTCTTTCTGTCGCGGTATAATTTCTTGTACTTTTTGGAATTTCAATGGACTTACCAAGAGCTCATTTTTCAGTATTTGCCGAATGGAATATTGCGATATTTTCAGTTCATTAGTCATTTTTCGGCCCCTACGACGGGTTTTAGTGGATTTTAAAAATGTCGTTTGAGTCAATATCAAATTTCGGGATTCTAGCTCTCTCCCTTCACCCAACACCAAATGTAGTACCATTTAGTACTTTTTGTACAATTATAGTACACATTTCCAAAACCTAATCCATATCTCAATTCCAGGTACCAACAGAGACCTCAATATCAAATATCAGGATTTAAACTCTATTCTTTCACTCAAAAGTCAATTTAGTATCCCAGTACTTTTCGAACAATTATAGTACACATTTTCAAAACCATCTACATACCTCAATCCCAGATTCCAGCAGTGACCTCAATATCAAATTTCTGGATTTCAGCTCTATCCATTCCCTCAATACTAAATTTAGTACCACTTTGTACTTTTCGTACAATCAAAGCTCACATTACCAGAAACACCTCCATATCTCAATCCCAAATACCAACATACACCTCAATATTAAATTTTGGGATTCTAGCTCTATTAATTCATCCAGTACCCAATTTAGTACCCCTAAGTACATTTTAAACAACTATAGTACACATTTCCAAAACCACGTCCATATCTCAATCTCAGATATCAACAGAGACCTCAATATCAAATTTCAGGATTTTAGCTCTATCCTTTCACCCAATACCCAATTTAGTACCATTTAGCACTTTTCCAACAATTATAGTACAAATTTCCGAAACCACCTCTATATTCCCAGGCTACACACGGAAAAGCTACCCTAGCACAAAATTTCAGATTTCTCTTCACCCAATACCAAAAGTGTACCATTTAGTACTGTTCGTACATATGTGGCACCCATTTTCAAAATCTCCATATCTCAATCTCAGATGCCAAGAAAAACCGCAATATCAAATTTCTGGATTTCAGCTCTATATCCTCACCCAATACCAAATTTAGTACCACTAAGTACTTTTCAGCGACTTAATCGAAACCCGCGTCGCAGTGACCGAAAATGGCTCGTGAGCTGAACATATCGCAATATTCCATTCGACAAGCGCCGGCCATGGTGATGGTGTGGGCCGCCATGACAGCCGATGGTCGCTCTCCGCTCGTATTAATCGACCGTGGCATCAGAATAAATGCCGAATGTTATCCCGAAAATATTCTAGAGGGTGTATTAAAGCCTTGGACATGCAAACAGTTTTGGGCTTGGACATTCCAACAGGTCTCAGCACCAACGCACTCAGCACGCGCCACCTAAGAATGATTCCAAAAAGTGATTCCTCGCTTCATTTCTAGCGAACCACAATGGCCAACAAAATCTCCGGATATCAATCCGTTGGACTATTGTGTCTGGAGTATTTTGAAAAGCAAGGTTGGCACTAAAAAATACCAAAATGTCGATCACCTCAAGCAAGCGCTTCGCCGGGAATAGACCAAAATACCGCAGAGCAACATTCGGGCAGCGTGTGACTGTTTCATTGGCCGCTTAAAGGCCATAATTCGTGTCAAAGGTGACCAATTCGAACAAATCTAAACTTATTCCAAAATTTGATGCTATTTCCGACATTTTTGCTTTCATTCAATAAAATTTAAAAAAAAAAATGTAAAAATTCTGGCGTTTGACTTTGTTGCAGGTTTTTTTTATCTCACCAAAGTTCCATTTGGTACAGTTCGCACACTAAACACATATTTCCAAAACCACTTTATACATCAAACTTACTGTCCAACCTTGATTCTTATACCACATAGTACCATTTTAGAACTTTACGTAACCTTAAAGTTCGAATCTTCTAAAATTCTTTGATATATATATTCTGCACTCCATCGGTGACTCTCGTTTCAAATGTCTAGTTCTAATTTGAAATTCTAGCTCAAAGGGCTAACTTTTTAGTAAAATTTAGTATTTGTCTTATCCTTTGAGTACGAATATCTAAGAACTCAGTCACACGCCTACGCACCAAGACTGACCCTCGTGAACATTTTCAAGATTCTAGCCTCTACCGTTTCATCTGATTCCTAGACAGTCAGTCAGTCGATATATCGATGAATGTTTCTGTATAGAAAATCAAATTTCTCCTATATCAACAAAATCTTTCGATATTCCGATAAATTTTTCGAATAGAAATTTTTTCCCACAAAAAATTTATCGACAATTTTTTAATAGAAAATCTATTAATGTATCGATAAATTTTACAGATAGAAAAAGTATAGTTATATCGATAAATTTTATCTATAACAGAGTATCGATATATCAATAAATTTTATTTACAAGAAGTATCGATATATCGACAAATTTTATCTAGAGAAAAGGTATCGATACATTTGACAAATTTTGTCGACATATCGATAAAATTTTCTTGTAGTTTTTTTTTCAATAGCTATGAATTTTCTGGGGAATAAATTCCGATTTATCGGTAATTATATTTTTTATTAATAAATTCTTAAATATTCATGTATTTCAACACATTTTCTATTCGAGAACATTCCGCATCCAACCCAAGTGGATGAAATGAACAATAGATCACATAGCTGGGGAAGCTGTGTAAAAGCTTCATTGTATTCCCCCTCCTTTGTCAACTTATCTATGCAAACATTGACAAAAGAAACAGAAACGGAAACAGGATATGACACAGACTCGCACACACACCCACACACACATGGATGTTGTTCCATCAACTAAAAAGGATAGCCAGATGGATGGATGGATGATGTTTTCATATTATGTGTGTATAACGCAATACTAATATACACCGTGAATATGTATGTGTACGTATGTATATGCTTTTGTGTGTGTGTTTGGAAAAGGATATCACACAAAATGTGTTGCTAAGTGTTGTCAGCTGTAATGACTCTTTTAAGAGCCAAAGAAAAGAAAATGGAGCATTTGAAACAAAGAGACGGATGAAAATGGGGCATTAATGCATTTCAACGCCTAAAATGGTGTAGGAATACAAATGTGCTATGGGAGCTGGCTTACATATGTTACTCAAATTTGTTCATTTTTCTTGAAAATTATCATTGAATTATTTCTTATGGAAATGCTATTGATATATCGATAAATTTTTTCTATAGAAAATTCTATCGATAAATTATTTCTATGGAAAATTTTATCGATATATCGATAAATTTTTTCTATAGAAAATTTTATCGATAAATTATTTCTATAGAAAATGTTATCGATAGATCGACAAAATTTTTTCCTATAGAAAATGTTATCGATAGATCGATAAAATTTTTCCCATAGAAATTTGTATCGATAGATCGATAAAATTTTTTCCTATAGAAAATGTTATCGATAGATCGATAAAATTTTTTCCTATAGCAAATGTTATTGATAGATCGATAAAATTTTTTCCTATAGAAAATGCTATCGATAGATCGATAAAATTTTTTCCTATAGAAAATGCTATCGATAGATCGATAAAATTTTTTCCTATAGAAAATGTTATCGATAGGTGGTTAAATTTTTTCCTATAGCAAATGTTATCGATAGATCGATAAAATTTTTTCCTATAGAAAATGTTATCGATAGATCGATAAAATTGTTTCCTATAGAAAATGTTATCGATAGATCGATAAAAATTTTCGTATAGAAATTGTATCGATAGATCGATAAAATTTTTCCTATAGAAAATGTTATTGATATATCGATAAAATTGTTTCCTATAGAAAATGTTATCGATAGATCAATAAAATTTTTCTTATAGAAATTTGTATCGATAGATCGATAAAATTTTTCTTATAGAAATTTGTATCGATAGATCGATAAAATTTTTCCTATAGAAAATGTTATCGATAGATCGATACAATTTTTCCTATAGAAATTTTATCGATAAAAATTTTTCCTATAGAATTTTTATCGATAGATCGATAAAATTTTTCCTATCTTTCGATACAAATTTCTATAGGAAAAATTTTATCGATCTATCGATACAAATTTCTATAGGAAAAATTTTATCGATCTATCGATACAAATTTCTATAGGGAAAAATCTATCGATACCAATTTCTTTAGGAAAAATTCTATCGATCTATCGGTACCAATTTCTATAGGAAACATTTTATCGATCTATCCATAACATTTTCTATAGAAAAAATTTTATCGATCTATCGATAACATTTTCTATAGGAAAAAATTTATCGATCTATCGAT